TCCCTATAGTATAGCAGTATTATTTCTGTAACTCATTCATTTTTGGTCTGTAATAATAATTCTTGTAAAACAGATATTGGGGATGTTAGTAAAAATGGGAGGGACGTTTTATATATGTTTTGCGGGGAAATCGGGTAGAAATCCTGCTCTTAGGACTGTTGTGATTATCTACCTGCATTAGAAACCATGCCTATAGGTTATTGTATGCATTAGAAGACATGCTCATAGGTTCATCATGTTATTCGCTCTGAAATTTTTTATGCATGTTCACATCCGCGCTAGAAATCCTGTCTCTAGGTTGTCGCTAACTCAGCCTTAAATATCATGTTCATGAATTCTCTTATGTGCATTAGAAACCATGTTTTAGGATTTTTATTGCACTCACCTCGATATCATACCTGTAATCAAATCGTATAAAAAATCAGTTTCTTCAAGTAGCAATCATGCCTATAGGAAATAAGTATAAAAGCAATCCCAACACTTAGATATCAGACTTATTAAAAATTAGTTCTGCAACATTTGTGATTATTTTCAGCACTTAGACAGCATGCCTATAGGACCTAATGAACCAAATTGCTTGCTTAAAATCGTTTACTGATTTATTGCAGTTCTGACTAACGATTAGATATCATGTTCATAGGACATCTCTGATCCCCACCTAGGCAAGCCTGTAGGGTGACTAAACGCTTAAAATTATAAAACCGTGCTTTGTTTGATTGTTTATGAAATGCCCAGATTCAGCAAGTCCTAAAATTAGTAGGCAAACTGATTAAGTACCTTCTGCCTCGCTTTAATAAAAACACTGCATATGTTCTGCTTTGTGCTCACCTAGATATACTGCTATAGGACCTTTAAAGTGTCTGAAATACTGTTGTTTGAGACATGCAATTGCCTATTTATTTGTAGAGGTAAATGTGAGCCTTTAGCTGTTCCTTTATCTGACAGTCCTATTTGTTTTGCTTGTCGCTTAGATTTTTCTCCTTTTAAGCACTATGGAGAGTCTAGATCCACCTTAACTAGCAGTCCTAAACACCTCCAGGACCATAAGTAAGGGACGGGTAATGCACGCATAGAGTACGTTTAATTAGAATCGCTTATATAACCGCTAAGGGGAGGGTAATTGGGTAGTAAAGGATATGATGACCTGTGCGCTAATGTTATGTGTAGCATCCCAACTTGGGGACGATTACCAAGTATTGCACAGAAGTGATCCTATAGGCTAAAAAACCAAGGACCCCTTTTATTCTTTATTTTAAACGTAATATCTATTTGTCTAAATTTCTTTGTTTGCTTATAAGACTAATTCAACTAATTTGAGTTTGGCCGGGACCCACCGTTGTGGACCTTGAGGGGTGCCTAACACCTTCCCCTCAAGGTTATTCTGAGCCCTTACCCATTCTCTGTAATGCAAACCGGTTTATGAGTTATTTGCTTTAGGTTCCCTAACGCACCTTAAATCCGTTAGGTGGCGACTCTTCAAATCCATACCCAATTCCCAAAAGGAAAATGAGTTGTTCCCAAGAATGTCGAAACCCAGACTCCGCGAGGAAAAAGGGGGCGCAACAGTGTGGATATGTTAAATGGGTATTAATTTGATATTTTAGACATATGAAGTCCTAGAGGGATGATTATTGGTGAAAATAGTTGTTTCCAAATCAAGATGGAGAGTGAGGTGCATAAGATTTGACAAAATCGACTGAGTTTACAAAAGGTCCGTCTTACAGCAGCCGTTAGTGCAAATGTGTAAAGAATATGGAAAACTCAAAAGATGAAAGTTGTAGGACTTTGAAATAGCTTTCCAACAATATATTATGGAGCCCGAACGGATCTCTGTGGAAAAAGTTATGCGCGCCCAGTGCGCGCCCCGAGCGGCCGCGCACCTGTGGCAGTGTTATTGCCATTTTGCATGGTCAGGTGCACGGTCAGGCCTTCAGGTGCGCGGGGACGCACTTGGGAGGTCATTAAAGCCCTTCTTCGTCCCCCACATCCCCAAAACACAAAAACTTGCTCTAGGAAGGGGAGCTCTCAAAAACCTAACTCCTTAAAGGTCCCTCTACCATCCAAGGTAAGTTCTAATGGTGATTCGAAGTTAATTTCAATTTCCCAACATCTTATTAACATGGGTAAACCCTCCATATCATTAGATATTCGATCGGGACATCATTGTTGAGAGAAGGAACCCTAGAACTCGAATTCAAGGGGATTGAACTTCAAAAAGGTAATGTCTTCACCCTCTAATTGATTCTAGCATTGGATTAATGATTATGGACTCTAGTTCATGAGATATGAGTTGATGGGTTTGATAGAAAAGCATGAACGATTATAGGTTTGGGGTGTTGATCGTTGATTATTGGTTAAGGGTGTTGTTTACCTTATGGGTGATAACGAACGATGTTGATTATAACCACTTGAGACTTTAGAATTTATCTAGGAGCAAGAGAATGGGTTATTGGGTGTAGAGACACCATTAACAAGGACTATGAAGCTTTATGCCACCAAGTATTTGAGAAAATGCCTAAGTAACCAAAACATGAGAATTATTGCTAATATGGAATCCCTTTGACTTGTATTGATATAGATTAAAGTTGAAAGGGTTGGCGAATGTTGTATTACGCTCAAGAGCAGGAAGTTAAGGTATCTGAGGCTAACTCTCTATATTTGGGAATGTTAATGATTCTCCCTACACTAGGGGTGGGCCTAAAATCCGAAAAATCGAATTCCGAACCGAACCGAATTAATTTGGTATTTCGGTTTCGGTTTTTTCGGTATTTCGGTATAGAAAGTTTGGTATTTCGGTAATTCGGTACGGTATACGGTATTGGGTTTTTGAAATTTCGGTATTTCGGTATACCGAAATACCGAAAAAATTTAGTCCAAGCCCAACTTTATTTTTATTTTTTAGCCAAATAGTTGCTTGTCTTATTGATTACATTATTAAAATCCAATGTATTCTGTTCTCGTATTCTGCAAAATATTTGTTTCCAACATAGATAACTTCTTCCTAAATACTAATTCAAGATAAAAAAGCAACATCTTATTACTCTAATCGAAATTAAAGAAAACTTGTGTAATTATCTAATAAGGTCTAAATCGACTCATTTTAAGTTGCTTTCAGACACAACACATGCTTGATTAACTTACTGAACTTCAAAAAAAGGTACATACTATACAGTATACTCATTCCTAAGAAATCAAGATGATATTGCTAATATTCAATTTTATTTGGCTTTGTAAAATCCTAGATGATTTTACTACCATCCTTGCAACAATGAAGTGAGAGGCTTAACCGTATTATGCTACCACTGAACATAGTAATCCTGCGTTAAAAAGAACATAGTCATGTGTTAGCACAATGATCAACATGGATTACATTAGTTAATGAAGTGGGGGTGGAGATGGTGAAGATTTGGTTTAAACTGAAACCATACCGAAACCGTACCAAACCAAAATAAGAAATACCGAACCGTACCGAAATATTTTGGTACGGTATTTGGTATACACAATTGATAAACCGAATATCGAAATACTGAACTGAAATTCTTAAATACCGAACCGAAATACCGAATGTCCACCCCTACCCTACACTACGTTTCTTTTACAACGTTACTAATTGCCTAAGAAATATAGTTAAGCCTAGTTCTTTGAATAGTTGCAGAACTTCTATTCTCTAGCTTCATAACTCGTTTATGACTTTTATTCTGAACGTTGTGAGCTAAGTTCGTATTCAATATAGACTTAGGTTTGATGTCCCTGAGTCTCAGTATAGCTTACTCAGCATGTCATAAACAGTTGAAGTTTCAGTGTTCATAATCAGTTCAAGAATACATGTCTCAGTCTAGTCCTATTCGGTATTCCAGTATTATGTAACTCAGTGTGATTCAGCATTTCAGTATCATGTATTGCAGTATGATTGTTAGTTCTTGATTTTAAATTCCTGAATGTTGAACACCTGTATTTGGGCTTGAGGTCGCAGTTTATATGCTTTATGCATACTTGGCCTGAGGCCGTAGTTTATGCTTTAGGCATATTTGGGCCTGAGGCCGTAGTTTATGCTTTATGCATTTTTTGGCCTGAGGCCGTAGTTATGTATACTTATACTTGGGCCTGAGGCCGTAGCTTGTGCACATATATATTGGGCCCGAGGTTGTAGCTTATTCAGATAAACAAGTTGTTCATCATTCAGAAGAGGGAGTATTCATATCCTTACTTCCTTTGTTCAGTTCAATTATTAGTTATCATTTCAGTTACCAGTTATCAGATGAGTTATCAGTTATCATTTATCATTTCAGCTTCAGTTTCAATAGTTATCATTTCAGTTATCAATTATCAATTATCAATTATCAATTCTCAGTTATCAGCTTAGTTTCAGTTTCAGCATTTATAATTCTTTCTTTCAGTTGCTTTACATATCAGTGCAATTCAAATGTACTGACGTCCTTTTTGCCCGAGGCCTGCATCTCACGATACAGGTAATGATTTACAGGTTGACGATTCAGAGCACTAGGATTCTCGTACCAGCTATTTGGTGATCCACAATTCTCTCGAGGCATTATCATTACCTTATAGTCTTTAGTATTTTCAGATAGTCAGTGTCTTCAGTGATTCATTAGAGGCTTCATAGACTAGAGTAACAGCTAGATAGAGTCACTGGCTTTTCATATTAAGCTATGTTGGCTACAAATATATATTCAGAATTGTATTAGTATTTCGCACTTTGATTTATATCATCCAGACTTTCAGTATATCAACATGTGTTAGTTTATCTTCTGCATTCAGTATGTTATGATATCACATGTTGATTCAACCAGCCAATTGGTTCGCTCGGTTGCATGTAGTCAGGCACCGGGTGTCGTGTTACGTCCAGGCCCAGGTTCGGGGCGTGACAAGTCCTTCCTGAAGCTTGTCTCGCACAAATGATAGTCAACTTCTATATGCTTGGTACGTTCGTGGAAAACTGGATTCTTGGCTATGTGCAGGGCTGCCTGACTATCACAAAAGACCGGAATCGGAAAAGATAATGGAACTGCTAATTCTTCAAACAGCTTGACTAACCACACAAGTTCACCAACCACTACTCTAGTTGACATGTACTCTGCTTCAGCTGAGGACAAAGCTATGGTGGATTGTTTCTCTGACTTCCAGCTAACTGGGCATCCACCAAGTAGTATTAAGTATCCACTAACAGATTTCCTGGATTCTGAGCAAGCAACCAAGTCTAAATCACAAAAGGCATAGATCTTGTAATCTGTGTTGTCAGAGAGGAACATCTCCAGGTTTGGATCACCTTTTAAGCACCTTAACACATGATATGCAGCTTTTAAGTGAGTATCCCTAGGATTCTACATGTATTAGCTAAGATGTTGTACACTGAAGGCTATATCAAGCCTGGTGTTGGTAAGAAAGTTCAGCTTCCCAACTAGTTTTCCGTATTGAGTGGGATCCTTCAATGGAACACCATGATCAGCTTTCAACTTGAGTGAATGATCAAGAGGAGAAGATAATGGAGGTTGTTGCAAGCAGTCATACTCCCTTAGTAAATCCATAGTGAACTTTCTCTAAGAAATCAGCACCCCATTCTCTTTATACAACACTTCCAGCCCCAAGAAGTAGTGCAAAATCCCCTAGTCTTTGATCTTGAAGGTCTGGTCCAAGAACCTTCAGAGAGTTGATCTCATCAAGGTCATTTCCTGTGAGTATAACATCATCTACATATACTGCCACAAACACTATTGTGTTGTCCTTTTTCTTATGAAATAAGGAATAGTCTAGCAATGAGCGAGTATATCCCTTAGAACATAGTGCTTCTGCGAGTTTTTCATACCATTATCTGCTTGCCTGCTTCAAGCCATATAAAGATTTGTTCAGTTTGCACACTAAGCCTGGCCTCTCTATAACTAAACCAGGTGTCACTTCCATATAGACTTCTTCATGTAAGTCTCCACGAAGAAAAATATTATCACATCTAGTTGGAAAATTTTCCAACCCTTCTTGACTGTTGTCCCTCCTAGAGCCCTTACAGTGTTCATCTTTACCACTGGTGAGAAGGTCTCTGTATAGTCTATTCCAGCTTGCTTAGTGTACCCTTTGACAACCAGCCTGGCTTTGAATCTCTCAATGCTTCCATCTGCCTTGTGCTTGATTTTATACACCCCCTTGCATCCTATAGCCTTCTTTCCATATGGAAGAGGTACCAAGTCCCATGTATGATTTGTGTACAGTGCATGGAATTCTTGAGTCATTGCTTCTTTCCAGGTAGGATTGATGACTGCTTTTTCATATGAACAAGGCTCACACTCATGTAAAATGCTTCTTACCATCTGCTAACTTTCAGGAATCAATGCATGAAAAGAAAAATATTGTTTGTTAGGCAAAAGGGCAGTGAAAGATGTAGATTGTGTTTCTTGACTTTGGATAGATGGACATGGTTGGAGATTTGGGATTGAATATACATTATCATTTAGATAGGCATGTGTTTTGTGTGGTCTAGCAGGTCTACAGTGGTTATGACTCTGGTCCTCAAAAGAATTAGTGAGATTAGGAATATAGAGTTGGTACTGACTGTGTGGAGCTGATTCAGTTGCTAGGTTGTCACTTTGGTCCATGGATATGGGTGATGATTGGTCATGGTTATGTGAATGTCCAGGTGATATTGCATCATGGTGAGATTCAGGTGACACTGCAATGGAATGGTGTGGTGACTCATGAGGAACATTAGACTCAGAAGGAAAAGCTGAAGTATCACGAAGTCCCTCTTGTGTAGAGGGAAACTTCCCAGGAAAGGATATATTATTGAAATTGAAAGACAGGTGGAAAGGGAACACATTCTCATGAAAGACTACATCTCTTGACACATGTATCTTCCTTGTGACCAAGCTTAAGACTTTGTAACCTTTTGAACCAAATGGATACCCCACAAAAACATGAGGAGTGGCTCTTGGTTCAAATTTGTCTTTGTGATTTTTAAGTGTAGTGGTGAAACACAAGCAACCAAAACTTTTGAGATGAGAATAGTTAGGCTTCTTCTTGTATAGCAGTTCATAGGGGCATTTGTTGTTTATGGAGGATGAGGGCAATCCATTTATTAAGTATGTGGAGGTGAGCATACACTCTCCCCAATATTTCAGGAGAAATTTGGACTGGAAAAGCAATGTCTTAGCTGTTTCAAGTAGGTATTTATGTTTTCTTTCTACCACCCCATTTTGTTGGGGTGTGTAGGGGCAGGTCTTTTGGTGGATAATTTCTTTTGACTGGAAAAATAAAGAAGCCTCGAACCGGTGAATTCCTTCCATTATCAGTCCTTATGGACTTGATTGAGGTTCCAAACTGGTTTTCAACCACGGTGAAAAAGGCCTTGATCACATATAGAGCATTACTCTTGCTGCCCAGAAGATGTGTCTAGGTAGATCTGCTATAGTCATCTACAAGAGTTATGAAGTATCTGTGACCACCATGAGTAGTTACATGATAAGGGCCCCACAAATCAATGTGTAACAACTCAAAGACTTTGGTTGAGGTTGAGCTTCTCAGTAGAAAGGGCAATCTTGTTTGTCTAGCCATGGGGCATATGAGACATATGAAGGGTTGTTTTGGAGCAAATTTAACTGGTATGGTTGAGATACCTCTCATCTTTAAAAAAAGGTACACGTCCAAATCGATTGTGCCACAAGGAATCAACATCATTAATAAACACATTTAGTACATAATAGCCACTTCCTTTATTCAATTCTAAACTATGTACAACAGTTTGGGAATGAGAAGGCGCTCTATTTACATGTGTGTGATGTGAAGTGGAAGGGCAAGACACAAAATCACAAGTAGTACTGGACATAGACTTTAAGAACTGAAAATACAAACCATCGATTACTTTACCAATCTCCAGAGGCCTCTTCACTGAAGGGGCCTGCAGAATGAAGCAAGCAAGCTTGGTAAATGCAACTATACAGTCAAGCTGAATTGTCAAAGAATGGACAGAGATTAGGCTATATTTGAAACTTGACTCAAAAAGGACTTTTCTTAGAGTGGATTTGGGACTAAGAACTACATCCCCAATGAGTGTCACATTCACCTTATATCCATTTAACAAAGTCACTAGGAAGGGATAAACTAAGGTTTTGGTGTTGGTTAATAAAGACCTTTTGAAGGTCATGTGGTTTGTGGCACCGGAGTCTAGGATCCATGAGTCAGTATTTGGTTCGAAACAATCATATAAGTGATCACTATGTTCAACAGAATTGCAACAAGTCACAGTACCTGCAAAATTAACAGCACCACCAACTAATTTCACCCTGCATTTCCTGGTTGGAAGTTCTCCAGTAGACTCAGCAATTGTCCATATTGCTCCTTGGTTAAAATTGTGCAAATTCCGTCCTCGCTCCTGTAGCATTCCTTCTTCTCTTTCTTCAGCATTCACTCTATCACCTGGTCCTCCAAATGCATCTGCAGCATTTTCTTTTCCTTTAATGAACTTGTTGATAGTGTGTGAATTGTTATTGAGCCTATTCATGCCTTGTAGATACCCATGAAGTTTGTAACATTTGTCTTTGATGTGTCCCTGTCTCTTGCAATACTCACAAAAGGGCCTAGGTCTTTAGGATTATAGTTTCCTCTGAAGTCACCAGTTCCAGCAGAGTTGTGACTATAATTTGTCCTAAAAGTGTTCAGACCTGTGGTGTTTGCATTAAGAGCAGTAGAGTCGATCATGACTTGATTCTGGGACTTGACTTCTATCTGCTTTTCCTCCTAAATAAGAATAGAGAAGGCTTGTGCTATGCTAGGTAGAGGGTTCATCATCAGTATACTTCCCCTCACTACTATATATACTTCATTTAGCCCCATGAGGAATTGAATCAGCCTCCTGTGTTCAGCATTTTGCATATTAGCCTTAGCTCCACATACACACTGACAGCTACACTGAGCATGAATGTTCGGCATGTTTAGCTCTTCCCACAGCTTTTTCATTTTTGTGTAATATCCAGTGATATCGAATGTCCCTTGGCTTAGACAACTAATCTCCATTTGTAATTGATATAGCTTTGCTCCATTTGTTTGATCGTACCTGTCTTCTAGCTCTTTCCAGAGTTCCTTTGCATCGTTGACATATTGTAGGCTGTTCGCTAAATCCTTAGAGAGTGAGTCCAGTATCCACGAGGTCACCATGTCATCGCACTGTTGCCACCAATCGAAGAGTGCATCACTTTCATCTGGCTTTTTCATTTTCCGTTAATGAATCCTACCTTATTCTTCACAGACAAAGCTCTTAACATACCTCTTCTCCACGATCTGTACCCAGAACCATCAAAAGGAACCGGCACTAGAGTAGTTCCTGCACTCTCCGATGGATGCATGTAGAGTGGACTGGTCTAGCTCAATGGAGTATTAATTGAATCCGCCACTTCTTCTTCTCCGGCCATGATTCAGGCAGTAGATGATACAAAATGTAGATTCCAATTGAGAATCCAGCTGTTAGAGAGCTCAATTTCAGAGAAATTGTCAAAAAAAACAAAATGCGAGTTGAAGAACCCTAAATCGAACAAAGAGGAGACAAAATTGAAGAGAAACAGATCGGAGAAGAGTCTAGCTTGATGACGAATTGAATCGAGAGCTTGAGCCTAGGCTCTGATATCATATCAAAGTTGGAAGGAAGAATTGAAATCAGCTCCTGCTCATGCGAGAGATATGGAGCTAAGAGAGAATATTCTGGAAACAATCGTGAATTGGTTTATTTCTACAAATGATTCACTCACTTTGTGTATCTATACAATGCCTATTTATAAGCAAATGAAAGAAGAGAAGAAGAGAAAAATCCAGCTGGCAATGAGCTGGCCCACTAACCACTAACTACTCATAACCACCATTAAAACTTTAACTACCTCATGAAATAATTAAAAATACAGTGTGCTGCAGCGTGTGTATGTGTATGTACATTTCTTAATACATTGCTCAATAACAGCTCTAATTTGTATCAACAAATTTACAGCGTTTGGCCTTCTTCTGCTTTTTTGCCTCTGCATTTCTGCTCAGCCGTCGAACACCAATCATCTCTTCTTTTTTTTTTTCCATATGATGTTCAGTATTTATATTGGGGTCCGATTAAATTCGAGTTCCCATCGAAAATCTTACAAAACGATTAGGATAAAGTGCTCCCAAACAAAAGCATTACACCCAACGCTTAAATCCGAGACCTTCAATTAAAAATAAATGAATACTTACCTCTCTACCACAGCCCGTTGATCCAATCTTTATCGTATAAGGTCTACCAAGAGTCTAAAATATATCACCTGAATTCTTGTCGATGAAAAATGTACTTATTGTTAAACAGAACCTTTTTCCTCAAAAAGAGGGCAAACTGTGAAGTTTTGCAATTGATGCATTATACGATTGTTGCCGATCTAACTGTTTTCTTTTCTTGGTGATAATAATTTGGTGTAGGAATTCCCTACTCAAATTAAATCCACCTAAGATAACCCTTTTTCTTATCCAGCTAATTAAGATAAGCTTTGGAATAAGCTATTGCAGGACAAACAGTCATACACTACGACATAACGACACGTTAGCGTCCAGCTGCTGAGTCATGCAGTTCTACATTCTCACCACGTTGCATGAGAAATTGCTCACCTATAGCCAACATCAAACCACCTGTCAATTCTCATGAAATACTTATCCCAATCCTGACCATGTTCCTCTATACGGTGAAGTCTTTGAACTTCTCTGACCATGATCTTTCTTATAAAGGCATCGTTTCTGAAGACACGTCTCATTCATATATACTTCAAACTCTTTGCAAACCAGAACCAAATAGAAACCAACTAAAGTACGAGCTAGCTAGTTCTGTTAACACAATGGCTTCACAGCAAGAGAGAAGAGAGAACGTTACTGATGAACGTGAAATCAACCTTGAGAAAAATAAAGTTCCCCAAATAGCAAGCCATTTTGAGTCACTAGCTGAGAAAGTTCAAGCTGCAGCCGATGTCCATCCTGCAGGTCCAGGTGCTGTTCATGTCAAGAGTACTGTTACTGTTACAGGTCAGGGGGACCAAGGCGCACATGAAAAGAAATCTCAAAGTCATGAGCAAGAGTCTCAACAAATGCAGCAAGCTCGGAGGGAAAAAGAGGGTGATATACAAAGGAAGAAACTGTCGTCTACTCTTCAAGCTAAGAGTTCCGAGATTCTTAATCAGGGGAGAAAGCAACAGGAATTTGAAGAGAGACCAGGTGGCGTCAAATTTGAAGTTCAAGGCCAAGAACATAAGGGTTCAGACACAGGCAGAGAAACCGAAATGCAAAAGCAGGAAGGTGAATCTCGTGGCCGTGACATTAGTTCCATGCAACAAAGCAGAGGAGTTGCTACAGGTTAGAGGCCTGATTAGTTGAATACTCTTAGCCAAATAATTATAGGGTGATCAGTCCGATACTCTTAAAAAAGTTCTACTTATATGTGTTTAAATAAGTCAAATAAAATTACTTGTATTGTGTCTATGTAATTCAAATAAAATGCCTATACTGTTTGTATATGAGTAACACAGTATATAAGTCAAATAAAGGGTGATCACTTTGAAGTTAGAACACTCTTCCTTGAAGAATATATGGAGGTCAGTTACTACTCCATCGGTTTTAAAAAAATTGGCATATATTATTTATTTATTAGTCAGTTTCAAAAAGATTGGCACAAAATATTGCACAATTTTATATTTCCTTAACAGATAGCTTTTGCGGTCATTATATTTCCTTGAAGCTTTTATAGCCACAATGACTTGTTTAATATTACATGTTTCAAAAGTAGTTACGATATATTTAAAATAGTAGGTCTTTTTTTTTTTTTAATTTAAAAAAATTAAAATTTTGTGCAGGTGGGCAACAAGAGACAGAAACACAAGCAAGGGGCGAAGGTGAAAGCAGAGCAGGGGAAGTAAGTCATGGTACTAGTGAAGAAACAAAAGGTCCATCCTTGGAAGAAATATCTCAATACAGGGGCACAGCGCAGCAGAATTCCATGGAAGCAATTAGAGCAGCTGAAGAGCGGTACGAAAAGGCCAAGGAAAAGGGTGGCTCAACATTGCAGAATGTTAAAGAATCAGCAACTCATGGACTTGGAGCTGCAGGTACATATGCAACAGAAGCTAAAGACACTGTTACTCAAGGTGTTCAAAAGGGAACTCAATATGTAGCTGAAAAAGCTGGAGCTGCTAAAGAAACTGCCCTTGAGAAAGGCCAACAAGCTTATGCTGCAACTAAAGATACCCTTTCAAGTGCTGGACAAACTGCAGTACAATCAGCACAACAAGCTAAAGATTATGTTGCCCAAAAAGCAGGGGAGACTAAAGAATATGTTGTCCCAAAAACCGAGGAAAAGATAAGTACTGCTGGTGAAGTAGAAACTCTTTCCCCTGGGGAGATAGCTTCAGTAGCAAAAGAGTGTGTTCAAGAAAAGAGCAAGAGCGCAACAAGCTATGTAGGAGAAAAAGCAGCTAAAGTTAAAGATATAACAGTGGAAACGGGGAAAGGTGCAGTAGGATATGCAGGGAAAGTAGCTGAAACAGTGAAGGAAAAAGCAGTAGTGGCTGGCTGGGGAGCTGCACATTTTACTGCAGAGAAAGCTGCAGATGCTACTAAAGCTGTTGCTGGTGTTGCTTCTTCAGTTGCTGGGTATGCGGGAGATAAAGCGGTGGCGGCGAAGGATGTGGTTGCTGATGTTGGGAAGAAAACAGTTGGATATGCGGAGGATAAGTTGGTTGCAGCAAAAGATTATGTAGTTTCAGCTGAGGAAAGTGCAGCAGAGTATGCAGCTAGGAAAAAGGCGGAAGCAGAGAGAGAATCAGAAGCTAAGAGATCACACGACACCAAGGTAAACAAACGGTAATTGGTTGTCCTTAAAACAGTAGGTGGTGTCGAGTTAATGATTCATTTTGCTAATGATTTTTGTAGTGCCATATATGAATCCTGACATATTTTACAGGAAGAAACAAAGGTGGAAGAAAAAGAAAGCGGAGTCAAACCAATGGAGAAAGTTAAAGAGTCCATTGAAGAAGAATCAGGAGGAGGAGGAGAGAAAGGCAAGCAGTTGGAGGAGGGAGCAGCAGTGGTATTGCAAGCCATTGGCGAAACTATAGTTGAGATTGGGAAAACAACTACTGATCTTGTTGCTGGCCATACCAGGGGGGAGGAATCAGTGGGAACTGAAAAAAGTCCATCACAATAAAACTGCTTGAGATGGACATTATGAGGATTTCACTTGGTTTGCATTTAGCTCTACGTACATTTTGAAGTTCGTTTTAGTTATATGTTGAAGGGGTGGTTTGCTGGATGTTAGATTTTAGCGTAAATGGTAGTGTATGTTTTTGTCGATAATAATATGATAGAACTTTATTTGGTGCGACACACAGCCAGTTATTCCTGTGCTTTCCTTTAGGTTTCAGCTTTATAATTTGATCAATGGATGAAAGATTCACATATAGTTGAAGGGGTGGTTTGCTGGATGTTAGATTTTAGCGTAAATGGTAGTGTATGTTTTTGTCGATAATAATATGATAGAACTTTATTTGGTGTGACACACAGCCAGTTATTCCTGTGCTTTCCTTTAGGTTTCAGCTTTATAATTTGATCAATGGATGAAAGATTCACATATACGTGCAAATTACAAATCCGCAGGGCTGATATTAAAAGTGTAGCCAAAGGTTAACCAACCATAGATGTGAAGGAGCAGACAATGTTTACTCCAACGTCTTTCAACCAAACATTACATAAAAGGCAATAAGGACACACAATACTCGATGTCAACTTGTACATATCCATCAGACTGAAAGATAGTTTGTTATTAAACTTGGAAAAGTGGGACTTGTCCTACATCGGTGGTGCAAGGTTATTTTCTGTGCTTTTAACTCCTTGTCCTTTTATTTATTTAATTTAGAACACACACATATATATATATAAATATATATATATATATATATATATATATATATATAAGACTTTGAAATTTAAATTTAAATCTTATTTGAATAAACCTTTTTGAAAAGGTGTGGATATAGAAAAATCTGCAAGTATATTCTTGGCTTCTTGTATCCCGAAAAAGATTGTTTGTATTTTCTCAATTTATATACGGGAAATATCTTCTTTAAGGAAGGTCGTTCTCACGCCTCAAGCCTTCTTCAATTTTGTTTTGGATTATTATTTTGCGAACACAGACTACAGTCAGAATTTCGCTTAATAACAAGATATTTGATCCGCTTATCGCTTAATAACAAGGTATTTGATCCGCTTATTGGGAAAAAAAAGGATACTACCAATAGAGTGGAAAAATTTGAGAAATACCATACCAGTATGGCATAGACTCTGCTGCACTTTCTCCTCCAAGAGGAAGCAAAAAAGCTTTACTGAGATAGTCTTTGCTTTTCCGGTTTCTTATTTTCGTTAAGCTCATATTATTTGCTCCCACTACCACTTGAACAATACTATTCTAATATACGTGGACCTGTTTGACTAAGCACGACTTGTGGTCCTAAACACTTCAAAAAGAGGTTCAAAGTATTTTTGTGGTTATAAACCCTTTTCATTAAGGGTAGAGCTGAAAGTTTAAGTTAAATTATTTTCAAATTTAGAACGGGATCATTCTTTTTGGAACGGATAAAAAAAATAGGTTCATATAAAATGAAATAGAGGGAGATTACGCATTTACAAGAAACACTTTTTCCATAAAAATTAATTATCCGTCGTCCCAAACACACTCTATAACATGTTTGTGATATATCACAGATCTTTAACGCACTCGTCGTGAACAGGAAGGTTTGCTTGATTTGTAAAGAGAACTTTTTTTCGACTTGTAAAGAGACAATTAACGTAGATAAAAAGACGAAACTACTCCACAGCACGGTAGTAACACGTAATCACAATTCGTCATTTTGTTTGGGCAATTACTAAAGGATAAAACATCAAAGTAGATAAAAGTTTTTGAAAATGCACAATCTGCCTTTACCCTGACAAGGTATGTCTTTAGCATGGGTTTTAGGTAGGATTCACATTTTCGGGCTTTTATGCCTCATATTTTTTATTAGGAAAACATACTTTAATCTATCTTTGACTAGGGCATTGTACTGAGGAAAGCTAACGTTGTGCTAACTTTCATTTGTTGTCACTATCACAGGATCTTGTATCAATCGTTGCTTTTATCCACAACTTTCTCTACAATATGGAATCCATTTATGGTGAGACCCACTTTATGTAACTTCCATTTACTTAATTCTTTCCCCTAATTAGTTGATGCTTGAAATTTTAGATGCATGGCGTTGAAAATATTAGTTCACTAAATCATGGTCCGATCTAGAATTTTTAGAACATAAGTGCATCACTAAAAAAACGAGAAAAAAGAAGTACTAAGTAGGGATCAATCAATGTTCCTCTAGATAAATAAACCAACATTCAAATTAAGTGTATCATTTAAACTTTTTTGAAGTATGAGGGCCAACAGAAATAGTAGATCAATTTTATGAGATATACATAAAATATGTCATTTGGCCGAATGATCATGGGTTCACGTGCACCATGAAAACGGTCTAAATCTGGCCTGCACTAAAGTATAACTTGCTCATTGATGTAGTAAGTATTTTGGAGCTCCAGTAGCGGTTTGGTGTTTCTCCAGATTTTCTTACCATAATTGGTTTTCCTATCTCATAAAGGAAAGGACAACATATTTACTATAACTGGATTTTTCTTTTCCTAGAGGAAAAATATAATTCTTCCATATTTGGCTAGTCCCTTTTCTTGTAGGAAAAGGTTTGGAGTTCCATAAATTGAGGATCCTTCCTTCTCATTCAGTAGCATCCACAATGTTATATGGGGTTGAGAGTCTGTTGAGGGGGAGAACTTTACGGGACAAGTGTTAGTGTGTCACTTGTGTTTGCCTCTTCGTGAGGTTGCTCTCTCGATATTTTGTACTCTCTTTTATTATAGTGGATTTCTCATCTCCATCGTGGACGTAGGTCAGTTGACCGAACCACGTTAAATGTTTGGGTCTCTTTTGATATATTTCTCTTTAGTTATCAGATTTATCGTCGCTCAAGGTTTGCTTGCTAACTTCCACATGACACCTGATTTTTTTCGGTCACAATAGTAGCCTCTGAAGGACACAAATAATACTTTCATTAAGTTTGTTCTTATTATTCCGTTTGTTTTATTTTATATGACCCTATTTCTTTTAGTTTGTTCCAAGCAAAAAGTGATATCCTTTTAATTTTTTGAAATAATTTAAATTTAAGATTCTCATTTTACCTTTAATAACATAACTAGTAATGGCATAACATATTTAAAATTACCGTAAGTTTCAAATGTATTGCCACATAAAATGAATGGGGGAATATAAAGAAACAAAAGCCTAACGCCGTATCATGAATGGTTTCAACTTAACACTTTTGTCTTGTTCATTCCAGGTCTTTGTTCATGAAGCAAATTCTAGTATTATTTGAAGTGTGTGACCAACAACGTCTCATTTAACGCGTATACTTTTAAAGAAATCACACTTTTGTTTACTTAATATATCTATAACACACCCTATATATCTCATGCGGGCATGGTTGTTTAATTTTTTTGGGTCAAGCTTGTCGAGCTTCTCTTCACTAATGGTAGTTTCTTGAACTCAGACCTTTATTTGCTCTGATATTACATTGAAATATGTTATCACCATCATCTAAAACCTTAAGCTATATTAGAGACACTTTCATTTACTTGTCTTTAACAAGTATGACCCAAGTATTTGCTCATTTACTATAGTAATTATAAAGTGGCACTCTATGTTCATTAATCTTATCTGTGATGTGCTATGAAAGAAATGCATTTTCTTTTTCAGATTTATATATCACTAATATGAAGCTGCAATATGGATTTGGAAACATCATAATGGCAGAAGATGAGAGGGTAATTAAGCTTTAATAATATTTCAGAAACAATTAAAGGCCCATTTCATCATAACAAACAATATAATTCTCATATATATCATCTCTCATCTCTCTTACATAAGATAGATGCAGGATGCATTTTTAATCAATATTTCATCATGACCTCATGCAATAAATAGCACTGATTCTCACCGATGCCTTCCTAACCAAAAGGAAATATAAGAGAGAAAAACAAAACACTTTAAAAAGGAAAATAAAGGAAAACTGTAAAAGCAATTAACAGACTCCAACCTTCTTCTCCTCCCATTGGCTACTGCCATAGAAGAAAGTCACTTCATCCATTTTAATTCAACAATATAGCTGGTACTGCAATGTTGCTCGGATCCTTCAAAAATATGGTATCGAGTCCACCAAAATTTACGTGTTTTTTTTGGAGGATTTGACATGGGTGTGACAGTAATATTTTTAAGAGACTTGAGCAATTTAATTAGTAATTGGGAGGCAAAGAGTGATGTTGAGGGTCAGGTCCACCGGGTGCAACTCTATCAGAACCTCCTTTAAGAGACCTTCTTTTATACTCCTCAATCTCTTTTAGGCTAAATCCTGCCTTACTAAGAACAAAATGGCTATCATATTTGGTCACAACATTTGGCAAATCACCAAGTATGCGAGCCTCCGAAGTGATGAAGTGGCAAAAAAGGAAAAATATGAAGAGAAATGCTAGCATTAGCGATTTTGCAGAAATTGATGAATTAGCCATCAAGTGAAGCAAAGGACAATGAGGGGGTTTAATTGGTATAGGCCTGTATTTAGCTAGTTGAGTTACAAGATGTATTGGTGTAGTTATTGCATGGAGTTTATGATCGATATTCCTATTTATAAGGAGCAATTGTGAAGAAAAAAGGCTATATGATAATGGAGAGAACATGAAATTATTTGTAGTTATTTGACTAAACCGACAAATTGCTCCATCAGCATGGATTCTCCATCATGAAAAAGCTTTTAATCTTTACTGTTATTTTGTTTTAAAATTAATTAATGGGCGTCCTATTGTTATTAAGGATGTTTCTAATATTCATTGGAGAATTCCATTCTCAACCCCCCCCACTTCTTCTCCACCAAATTAAAAGAAAAAGCAAACCCTAATAATAAGCTTAGTGAATTCAGAAAGAACCTACGATATTATGTGATTACATAGGCCTAGCTATTAAAACACTTAAAGAGATAAAGAGAGCAACGACCTAGTCCTCTAAAACACCTCAGCCAGTAGTGCATTTAGAATTTAGACATTATCATTCTAAACTAAGAGTGTGAGTTCTGATATGCATATCTATTTATTTTTGTTTTTACGTGTGCACACATACATATGTAATTCTATTTATATTTGCTTTCGACCTTCAGCCCCGGTTCTCATAATTAACCTGTTCATGACTCATTATAACATTGGATCCGCCATGATCTTCGTGTCCTTTTTCTTCGTTTTAGTTGTAAAAGGACAACCCGGTGCACGAAGTATTTTCTATTCATGCAGGATCCGCGGAAGGACCGCACCATAAGGGGTGTGATGTAAGCGGTCTACCCTGATGCAAGCATCAATGACTGATTTCACAGCTCGAACACGTGACCATATAAAGATAGGTTTTATTTTGTGTTTAGGAGGT